GAAGATGAAGGCAGGCGGTTTGAACGCTGTTCAGACTTACGTTGCTTGGAATATCCACGAACCAGTTCATGGGCAGTACAACTTTGATGGAGACGCAGACATTGTGAGTTTTATTGAGCTTGCAAACAGCCTCGGACTCCTTGTTATTGTAAGAGCTGGTCCATACATCTGCGCCGAATGGGAGTTCGGGGGGTTTCCGCCTTGGTTGTTGAAGTCGAACACGTCAATGAGTTTACGATCTACGGAGAACCCTCAGTATCTAAGCTATGTCAAGTCCTGGATGAGTGTTCTTTTGCCGAAACTGAAACCTCTCCTGTACGCAAATGGCGGACCTATCATTTCGGTTCAAGTTGAAAATGAGTATGGTTCTTTCATCGCTTGTGATCACGATTATATGCAGTTTCTGCAGCAACTTTTCCGCGAATACCTGGGCAACGATGTAATTCTGTTCACAGTCGATGGTGATTCAGAGTCCGAACTTAAGTGCGGTACTCTCCCAACACTGTACACTACGGTAGATTTTGGAGATAACACAGACCCGGAAAAAGCATTCGCAATCATGCGCGAATTCTCCCCCAAAGGACCCCTGGTCAACACTGAGTTCTACCCAGGTTGGCTGGACCGCTGGAGTATTCCCCACCAAACAAGATCTGCAACAGATGTGGCAAAAACTCTTGACAAGATCCTGTCTATGAATGCGTCGGTTAACTTTTACATGTAGGAAGGGGGCACCAACTTTGGATTTATGAATGGAGCCAAGCCCAAAGACTTTTTACCAAGCATAACTAGCTATGATTATGATGCTCCTTTGACAGAGGCTGGTGACACATCAACAAAGTTCAGTATCCTATTGCAGACAATTGCCAAGTATGAGATGATTCCAGTTGGCCCAATCCCAGATAACACAACAAAGTTTGCTTATGGCAAAGTCCAGATGACTCTCCAGTCAACTTTACTTGAGGTTTTGCCAAAGCTTTCCCCCTCTGGCCCTGTGAATTCATCAGTTCCTTTAACCATGGAACAGATCGGGCAAAATTATGGATTCATCCTGTACAGAACACAAATTCCAGGATCATTTTATGAGTCTGGTACTGCTGTCTTGGAAATCATTGGCCAACTGCATGACAGGGCAATAATTTTCATTGGAAGAGTCCGCCAAGCCACATTATTTCGGGATCAAGATGAACTCTCTGCCTCTGTTGAAGTTGGAAACTTTCTGCAGCTAGACATTCTTGTAGAAAACATGGGTCGAAGTAATGATGGAATTGCTGATCCAAAGGGAATCATTGGCAACGTTACTTTGAACGGAACAGTACTCATAAATTGGGAGATGTATGCCATAAATTTGGACAATCTGTTTTCCGATTCATTTGAGCTCTCTATCAATTCTGGTGACAACATGAAGTCAGGGGATGTGTTTACTTCAAATTATGAATATGCTCCCTCCTTTTACTATGGTGAATTTCCTGTAAACACTTCATCTGACACATTTCTTCAACTGCCAGGGTGGAATAAAGGCCAAGCTTTTGTCAACGGCTTTAACTTGGGTCGATACTGGCCTGTAGTTGGTCCACAGGATACATTATACGTGCCTGCTAGTGTGCTTACAGCCAACCAGAATGCAACGGTGCTGATATTTGAACTGGATCTTGCTCCATGTGAATACCCAGAGGACTGCTATGTTGAATTTGTGGACACCCCTTCCATTAATGGTGATGTCCACCCATTAGACGGAAAACAAGTGGGAGCTTGATATACATTCTTGCTGCAAAATTTCACAAACTGACCATTGAGTACCTACATTAGTAAAGAAGATGTAGAGGTGTTGCTTGTGAACAATTGTAGGTGGGTGTTAGTGTCTTTAAGAAACCTAAAACTGTGACCTAACCAAATTTATAGATTGATAATTTGATGCCACTTTACCCAGATGTCCAAATATATTGTCAAATACCTAGCCAAGTAGGTGGTCAAACAGGCACCATAGATGTCCAAGGCCAGGTTGTTCAAAGCTAGGTTAGGATAACCAAGGGTTTAAGTGGGATATTTAATTTTAGATCTGAAAGCTTTACATGAAAATTCAGTATAATTCTTTTATGTCTACAATTTGATGACTGGATGCTCTAAAAAGAGTAGACGAAATCATCCCAAAAAGATTCTTGAATAGAGAAATAAAGAAACCTGGATTGAAATTTAACCCTGGGTTAGCACTAATCGGCGTTTGAACAACCGGGCCCAAGTATGTAGTCAGTTTTTGTTGTTGAGAGTTACTGCCAGCTGGGTGAGAAGTTTTTAGAACATTGATACTCCATTCTTTTCCAGTCTCACACCTTACTTCGTGTTTATTTTAACAGATAAATCCTCAGAGTGGGTAAGGGCATAACTACCGGAGGGTCTTGGTGGTGCCACTCAACCCCCCCCCCCCATCCTCATTGAAAATAATTGTTTTCCAATTCAGTAGTATTACACATTTTATGTAATGATCAGGGCTTGCAAAAGTGTGCAAGGCATAAATCTTCAACAAAGCATAAATCTTCTCGATTGCTAAATGCTCCATTTGCCAATATGTCTCACTGTGTAAATGTATTTCTCTTGATAAGGAACATTGTTGGGGCAGGAGGATGTCAGTGAGGCATAATAATTATGAGTGGAATGGTAGAGGGTTATGTTTGTCTTTTTGTAGTAACTGCATTTATCTTTGATGTGTAGGCTGCAATAAAAACTGTACGTTGTTTTGGATAAATAGTAAAAGTTCATCATTATCAGCCAGATTTTGAGGAGAGCTGCCACATTGCTCCCCATATTTTCAACTGAAGAAAGGTCCTAGGGTGCATTTGGAATTCTTATCACAGCAGCCACCATCTCCCTTACCTTGGGGTGTTGATCTAACTGCCGCCCAGTTAGCTCAATGGATAGTGCGCTGGACTGTTGTGCAGGAGGTCAAGGGTTCGAGCCCTGGCCGGACCAACAATCAAGGTCTTAAAATAATTGAGAAGAATTTGCTACCTTTCTATAACATCAAGAAATGGTTAGATATTCTAGTCTTCTCGTTTAGGGATGAATAAATGCAGGTCCCGTCTCCTGCACGATTGGGGGTAGGAGACGTTAATTTCTCACACACGAGATTACTGTGTGATTGATGTCCTCCCCTGGGTTGGGATGGGTGGGTTTACTGGGCCTGCAGTAATTGGTGCAAGCTGTTGCTGTGTCCCTGCCAGTCAGCGAAGCTAATAAACTAAACTAAACTAACTTATGGCACGGAGTTAAACATGTATGTAGTAAAACAAGGTTAATAGATAGGAGAATGGACCAAGTTTATTTTTTGTTCAATTTATGAATAAAGCACAAGGTGATGCAGACCATAGTGTCCCTTTTTGGAGTGTGAACCAAGACATTTAGTTGGAATGAGAAATATGTTTACTCTATGTGTTCTCAGTGTTAGATCATAAACATTTGAAGCAAACCATGCTGGCAGTAGGGCCAAGCAACCAGCACCATATCATCGTGTACTTTAATATACGTAGCATTAATGGTAGGCAAAGGTTGTGCTTGGATTGTAGGAAAGGAACAGTATTGGTAGATATCCTCCAATTTAGTTGAAATTGCATATTTGATCATATGCATCTGTTAATTTGCACTATTTAACAATTATTCGCCAAAGGCCAGGTGAATATCGTCAAATAATCCCCAAGACAAAGTCTAGGGGATTATTTGACAAAATTCACGGAACCTGAGGGGAATAATTGTTTTACTATAATTTCAGAGCTGAACAACAGTGAAATTTCTAAAATCATAACATTTTAGTAACATTTATTTTAACATTTTATAGAAACCGTGTGGAGCGGTTTACATAGCGTCATATAAGGAACCGCTCGACCAATCAGATTGCTGGAAACTCTTTGCTCATCTTTTAAATTATACTAAATGGAGATATCAAATATTATTAAAAACTGGATCATTGGATAATGCAATTCAAGACTTTTTATTGGCTTAGCTATTATGGTATATGAGCCAATATACCATAATCTACAAATATGGTAAGCGTACGC